ACGGGGGGCGCCTGCCGCTGCTGCCTCTCGCTGTGAATCAGTAATGAAGGGGTAGGCAAGGAGGGGGCTGGGAGGAGGGGGGTGGTGGTGAATGAGCATGCAGAGAGCGTCTCGGGGGAGAATGCCGTAATAAGAAGCCAATAGTGAGCGGCTGGACAGCTGAGCTCCCCCTCCCCGTCCACCTTAAATCAATTCAGCCGTGAGGGTTTTTGCTGTCAGATCCCAGGCTTACGGTATCTGAACTGCATCCTCTAACATTCGATGGTTAGGAAGAAACCGGCCTGCCAGCTGATACAATGACTTGTATTCGATCTGCTTCTGAATAATGCAAATACAGACTCAGTGCAACCCAGAGATGGGCAGGTAGGGCAGGAGACACTCATCCCTCCCGGGTGATGAATGGAACAGGGGCAAGGACATCGTGATGGACTGCCGGTGAGGAGAGAGCAGCAGGCAGCTTCTGAGAAGCTGAGAAGCCGTAGCCCATCCTTGCACAGCTTGTGCAAGACTGAATTAAATAATTTAAATACTGATAATTTCCAGCGCTGTGTTCTCAAGAGGCTTTTCTAAATCTGGAGACAACGGGCAGGGAGGGAATGATGTCAGCACATGCATTTGAATTGATTCTAGAAATTAACTGCACATTTGTAAGGAAAATACTATGATGTCACACCTTAAATTGCCTCGCATCACTCCTATGCATCGAACAGGCCAGGTGCCTCTGCCATCTGTGTAAAGACAGCCTAGCAGGTATTACTTCATTTCATAGATCTGTGTTTTAGAAAGCATGTTTTTATGCTGCTTCATTTTTTAATTGCCTAATTGCAAAATGGGCTACATAACAGAACAATACACATTTCTGATCAGAGCAGACAGTTATATTCCATACATATCTAACATACAGAAAGGTGGTAATTTAAAATATTGTGAGGGACTCTACGGATCTAACACACATTAATTGCAAATACTTCTGCAAGTGCATATTTAAGTTCTAAATATAATTTGTCTAAGATGTCAAGAAAAAACATTACGAGTATTTATTTAAAATACTAATGCCAAATAAAAATCCGTAGAATGGGGAAGTTGAATTGAAATAATAAACATGTTCATGAGTAGTTAAAATATGAGAATCATATTAATTTACCATGAACAAACCTAGTTAAATACTACAAAAAGCAGAGAAAATTAGATAAATAAATTAACTGCATTCAGTCTGATACACCACCCATACTGGACTCAAATACCGGTAAATTTTCTTGGATGAGAATTTTTTTTTTTAAAAGGACATTATTACCAAAAATAGCCCCATCCATACAAGTCACCTTGGCTCATGGTGACACATGAAGCAGGTGGGAAAATGATTAAAGCAGAACCAGCAGAAGTCATAGGTCAAAGATGACAGATGATGACAATGAGGCCTCAACGATTTATACTCTGGTGATATGGGATTTAAGTCAACTAAAGCACCTGCAAATTTTGTGCAATACTGAATAAGCTGTTTAATATAGATGGGCTTCTGAAAGCTGATTTAGGTATCTCGGTTTGTGAAACACTATTTTGCAGATGAAAATCTTCTGTATGGCCTAGTCCAAAGAGCAGGGTTCTGAAGAGGTAGAGGCTACAGCAATTCTGGCCAGGTTGAGATAAGGGGTATTTACTGAGGTCCTTTTCAAGAGAAGCTATGCACAACTCTCTTAAGAAAAAAGAAACCATAACCAACGTGTGTTTCATTCAGTTTAAGATTATACTGAAGATTGTGATGGGAACTCTCCTATACTTTCCAAACTCCCTCAGCATGCAGTTGCAGAGATCCTGGTTTATTATCTAGTTTGTTATTATGTCTACACGTAGACACCACAATGCTGATCAGTTATCTATCACAGGTTAAATTTTCAGCTTACCAGACTGTATGTTTGTAGGGTGACAGGGTTTAAAGGAAAGGAAGTAGCTCTTCGTATTTTTTCTGAATTTTCTAAGTGTTTACATCTAATTTAAACACACGCTGGTAAACATGATATTCTAGAAACACTAGTTCTGCCTTCTACCTGCAAATGAAAACATTGCTCAAAACATTAAAAAGGAAGAAATGAGAGCACTATACTGTGTATATTGGGAAGCAAGTTTCAGAACTGACTAGAAGCATAAAGATGAACGGGCAGGGTCACTGGTGACTTGTGGGCCAAACAGGCAAGAGGACAGATAATTCAGAGCACCGTCCATGTAAAAACCCTTAAATTATTTCTTGCATAAGTCAGACTTTAACAAGCTGATAGCTAACTCTCATCCATACGGAAATTCAGGTTTTGTTAATTTTGGGTAAGGTCTGGGCTTCTGAAAAATGGAATGAAGTGATTATTAAATAAAGTCTTTAATTCTAGAAAGTTATAATAGGATCCCATACTTAGAGGCTAAAACCAGATGAATTCAGGTTAGAAATAAGGTGCAACTTTTTAGGAATGAGGAAAATTAACTACAGGATTAGCTTCCCAAAGGATGTGGCCTACTATCATCATTAAGATTTTTATATAGGGCCTAGACTTCCTGTTTAAAAAGAGATCTCTAAAATCTGAAAAATTCCAGGGCTTGATTAAAAAACCCCTTATCAGCTAAAATCCAATCTGCATTTTTCAGGAACTCCTTTCACACAGCATAACAGTGAACCATCATTCAGTTTTGCAGTTTGAGACTTTTTACACTCCCTACCATTCTTAAATACTTCTACATTGTCATTGAACACTACGAACATCTTATTTTTATCCATGTCTGACTAGGAATTGTGATTTTTCCTTCATGTAGATTTCATTACTCTTATCCATGCCATTAGATTACCGTCTTGCATTCTTCAGAAGGCCCTGACTGAAGTCAACTTCAAACTAAAAATGGCCCAAAAGGCAGTAACTTGCACACCAAGCAGAATGTCGTAAACATGTATTACTTGTGCTTTGATTTCCATGTTGTAGACTATCTGGTCTTTAAGTACAGTTAAATTCTGTTTCTGGCCTTCCTATCCATGAAATGCCTGCTTGCTCACATGGTACTGCTGCAGTTAAGATCTGCTCAGACACACACAGCTGAGGTGTACTGAACTCAGAAGTGGCTAATGGTAAAATACTCTGTAAGCAAATAAAGCCATATAGAATATGACTTGGAATTATCTATATTTTCTGAATTCTGTAGCAAGATACCAAGGATCTTGATGGGGAGTCCTTTATAAATCTCTGTACTTTAAAATATACCAAATTAGAAGAACATATGGAACACTCCAGAACATAAAAATATATATATCTATATACACACACATATATGTATATAAAAACTGAGAAAATATTTGGGAAAGGCTCATGGGATTCGAAGAAAAACGGTGGGTTTCTATCTATCATTTTTTGAAGGTCAAAGCAGGAGCTTTGTGCTTCTTGTACTGTTTTCTATGGGGAAAAAAGTACATGCCATCATGACTATTACAGCTTATATCCTTAATATTCTGCCAAGAGTGTGCAAAGCCTGAACACAAATGTATTAGTTTTAGGTGTTCATACTGGTTTCCAGATAACAGTGTTCTCACTTGCATGTTTAACAAGGCATGACAACTTGCTGTAAAAACTGGCAACCTGCCCACCTTGCACTATAGATTTCTTTCTCCCTCTCTGCTTCCTCTGCCTGCCCACATTCTCCCTGTGCGAGCAGCCCAGCCTTTTCCACGTCCTCTCTCTGCCCCAGTCCTTTCTGCAAAAGCACCGCTAGTCTTGCCTCCTACCCTGCGCTTTGTGTTGACAAGAATATCAAATTTTTACGATAATGGGGCACAGTACTGAAAGGTCAACGCTGAGATAAACTGAACATTGTCATAATTGCTATATGAATTGCTAATTGATCAATGCCGATGTACGATAGCATCTCTCTTTTCTATGTCAACTGTTAAAAAAAAAAAAATTGGATTGCCTTTAACATTTTAGTGGCAAAGATTGCTGACTTTGAAAAGCTAAATAGAATCTAAAACTGGAAGAACAAGGAAGAAAGTTCTCTTTCAAGTTTATTCCTATAAAAGGATAAGACAAATTCTGCACCAGAACAACTCTGAAAATCCATACGAATTACATCATGCCCACAATAAGAGCTTCACCTCTTACCTTATCAGAAATGAGTTTCTCCTTTCTGTTCTTCAGGTCTAATGACAACTGTGTAATCTGGATTTAGTGACTTTTACATCTTTATCATTATTAGGAAGAACATGATAAAACAACTAATTTTCATAGTAGAATTCATCAGCAGTCTGTGCTGGGGTCTGTGCTGGTTGGACTATTCTTAAATGGCTTGGAAAAGAGGGTGAATCATAAGGTGACCGTGTTTTCAAATGCTACTAAATTATTCAGGGTTCTAAAGACAGGGGCTTACAGTAAAGAATTGCAGAAGGACCGTAAGAGACTGAATGACTAGGCAATAGTACACTAAATGAAAGTCAATATAGATAAATGTAAATTGATGCATATGGAGAACAGTATCAATTTTACATATAA